GCGTTGTGGCTGGGGGCGGCGGGGCTTGGGGGGAGCCGTAGCCTCTTCCCAGCGCCCAGGCAGGCATTTCTGCAGGCCGCAGGTGAGGCACCAGGCCAGGAGCCCTCTCCTCCCTCCCCCCTCACCGCTGGACGGGGGCCCTGTGTGCTCCTCTAGACCCTGAAGCCATCGCAGTGCCTGGAAGAGAGGAAGGATGCGGCTGTGCGTGGTTCTGGCTGCGGTGGAGCGGTGCCAGGCGTGAACCCCGCCATGCGCCAGGCCAGCGGGAGGGAGATGTGTGCTGGCCCACCGCCTGGCACTGTCCCTGCTCCCTGCGGCCAAAACCAGGCTGTGCCCACCCACGCCCGCTCGTGCGAGTCGCGCGGCGGCGCCGGTTCTTCCTCCCGCTGCGCCACGTAGGGAAGTAAGCAACAAAGGCACCTTCTGCTTCCTTAGCCACTGTGGGAGCAGCTCGCGGCTGAACAGAGCCACACCGGGCTTTAAGGCCAGAAGGAATCTGCCAGCTCTTGCCATCCGTTCAGCGGAGACAGAAGTGAAGTACCCGAGGTATCTCTGGTTAACCACCTACCTCCTGCAATAAACATTCCTCTGCACTGGGGTTGGATTTTCATTTGAGTCGTGCGTTCCCGTATGTGTATCTTCTGTCTGTTCCAAGTCTGCTGCTGTGCAGTGTGATTTTCCTAGCGAAATGTTCACCTCTGTGCCTCGGATTTATATCTGCGTCTGCTGCTGCTGCATCCCTACGTCTTCCCGTCACGCTGTGCCAGCAGGTCGCCTCGCAGAGGGGAGGGAATGGGTTAGGGGAGGGCTGGATGCTCCAGCCGCAGGAGCAGTGCTCAGCAGAGTGACTTCTGTCTGAACCAGCCTGCTGCTGTGTCACACAACACGCTCACCTGCACGTCCTTTGGGAAGGATGGTTCCTGTGGCAGTTAGAGGTCGGAACCCTTCAGGATCCCGTATGAGCCATATTAATTAGTAGGTGAACTAAAACCTTGGTTTTCTCTTCAGATACTACAGCAAGGCCAAGTGTGCTGTGAGGGGCCCGCCCCTCGTTCCTGGGTGAAAAGCAGAGTAGTAGAAGCTGGGCCTGTATCACAGTACGGCAGTGATGGCCGGTGGGGGCGTGCCGCGTTCCTCAGGGGAGGCTGAAATTACCCAGGTGCTGCACGGGAAGGCAGGTGCCGTGCGGCGTTGGCAGTCTAGCTCTCCGCAGTGGCCGGGAGTGCAGTCACCGTCGGATGGATTTGGGTCGTGGGTTTAGCACCCAGCGCTGTGTGGTGGAACCGGGCTGAACGCCGCCCTGCACAGCAAACCCAGCGGGGGACGGTGCCGCGGGCCGCTGCCTGCTGACAGTCACGTGAATGCTTTCAGACTTGTGTGATGCAGTCTGGGGTGTGACCCGGCGTGAAGGATCAACCTGCGGAGATGCAGGTGGTGCGCCCCGGTGCCTCAGAGCAGAGGCTCACACCGCTGCTTAGACCTCCCCAGCACCCGCTCCAGGAGCGCTGGGTGCACCTCTCCAAGTTCTGCCCCTGGGTCTGGCACGTTCCCATAGCTTCTCCCTCCTGCCCTCCCCTCGGCGCTCCCGTCTCCCACCCCTGCTCCAGCGCAGCACCCTCCGCCCCCAGCGGGGCCGTGCTGAGGTCTCCGCTTCTGACAGCGGTGGGGCAGGGGCAGGCACTGCCCGGCCCCTCTGACCAGGGCAGCGAGCTCACCCACAAAGCTGAGACGGCTCCCTCGTCAGAGATGCTGCGCGGATTGTTTAAAACTTGCCCCTTTCTAAAAGAAACGTGTACAAATCCCCTGTACACAAGAGTGAGTCTCAGAGACGTTAAATTGTAAGACCTGAGTTGTATGAATCATAGGACCAATTCAGCCATTTTTCACTTCCTACGCATTTGGTGGAGCCGCAGTTTTCTTTTGGGCTTCTGTACCGGGTACTCATAAAAAATTACGCTAGCAGGTAAAACAGACTGAAAAGCCTTACATCTTCAGACTAGTAATGTGAGGGGAGCATTTGTACCATGAATAAAAGGAGGTGGTGTTTTAAGAAAAGCATTCCTTCCGGGAGATTCTGTTGATGTAAACCTGATGTTGCATTTGCTCAAAATGCTTAGGCAGCCATAAGATTTTTTTTTTTCCTGCATTTCATGTTTAGCCTGTTAAAAAAGATGTTCATCCACGTACCGTTAGCGGATGAAGCTGCGTTTGCAGAGGAGCTATAGAAGCATGTAAAAGTACTGTTTGCGTGCTGGAAGTGATGCAGTCAAGCTTTAAGTTTTATTGCATTCAAAACCAACAGAACAACTTAAAATGGATTTCTCGTACCTACTGTGAAGGTGGTTAAAGCAGTTGATGTTTTTCAGTCCTTGCCCTAACACAACACCGAATACAAAGGGAGGTCACTGCAAACTCTTCCCGTTTCTCACATGGGACACTTACTTTTGACTGGGACGCAGCGAGAGGCAGGGTAAAGCAGAAGGCATGGCCTCGTACCCAGTCCCGGAGCTACGTTTGGTTTCTGTCAGATCAAAAACAATCTGAGTGGTGGTTGGAAACCCAAAATTTCCGGTTTGAAACCCAGTATTAATATAAACAAAGCCGCCGCAGCTATTGTTTTTGGTACTGTGAAGCACCGTGGGGATCAGTGTGCCTGCGGTTGGCTGGGGTGTTGTGCCCCGGCCCTTGCCAACACCGGGCATTGCCGGTAGCGCCGTAGCTGAGGAAGCGCTTCCAACCGCCCTAGTAAGCTCTGCCGCTGAAGGGAAGAGGCCTCTCCCGCCTGCCTCGCCCCTCCGCTCCCCACGCTCCCTCTCGCTTGGGTTTTTTCCCCTTTCTGGGCTGGTTTTAACCTGGGGTGAGTTCCCTGCTCCAGCCGGCTGCCCCGGAGCTCACATCAGTGCATAGAGGTGTTGGGGGGTGGCTGAGGGAGGGCCGGGGCCGCCCCTTTCCACGGGGATGCACACTGGCAGCTGCGAGTCAGGCGGAGCAATCTTTGACCTCCCTCGGCGCTCAGAGACGTGTTACTCATGGTGCACGTTTCTGGTTTTCATTCCGTGTTGGCTGCGAGACTGCCGCACATGACGGGCGTTCTCCCAGAAGCTTGGGTCAGCGTCGCGAGCCAGGAGGCGCGCGGCGTGTGTCGATGCGCTTGGGCGAAGGGGGGTTGATCGGGAATCCCCGGTGGAGATGGCAGTGTAATTCCCAGGGGAGAGTGCGGAAGGCAGGCTCCCAAACCCGCAGGTACCGCGTCATCTGAGGGTGTCAGGCGTGTGTCGCTGCCTTCCCATGCGCTCGGAGGTGTGCGTGTGACAGCCGCTTCCCAGGAGCGTGGGGTGTTTCATCCCTCTGTTTCTCCGTTGCGTTTCTGTTACCTGTAATTTCCCTTTTATCTTTATATTTTGTAGCTGCTTCCAGAACTCACAAATCCAGATGAGCTGCTTTCATACCTGGATCCTCCCGATTTGCCAAGCAATAGCAACGATGACCTTCTGTCCCTCTTTGAGAACAACTGAGACCACGCGTCCTCTCCCACCCCTTTCACTTGTTCACACGTGTGTGGCTGCACAGCGAGGAACCTTAACACTCCTTTTCCAGAAGAGAAGAAGAAAACCTCACAACTCGATCCAGTGGTGCACTCCCTGCTTTCTTCATCTCAGAACTGCTTGTGTCGGCTTCAAAGACAGCGAAAGTGACGGAGGGAAAACCGCAGAGCGTAAATAAACACCGTCATCTCCGCGTCTGCCCTGCTACGCGTGGCAAAGAAGCAGAGACAGTTGTGCAGCTTTTGGAAACCCCATTTGTTGTTCACCCTTTGGAGAGAGAGTTCTGTGACAAACAGTGTGGGAAGGATCTTGGCAAAATCCAAACCTCGGCAGGGGAAGAAAAGGCAACGCAACGGAACTGTCTTGAACTGGCCCGTCTCAGCGTGTCCTTCCAAGGCGTGTTCTTCCATTTGTTTGAAACTGTATCTCCCTCCACCCCACCTCCCCTCTGCCCCCCTCCAGCCACAGGTTTGCAGCGGAGTGATTGTCCTGGCCACACACAACCGCGTCCGGAGCTCAGAAAAGCACAAATCCAGCGGCAAAGACAGGGCAGGCCCGGCAGCCGGGGCCGGCAGCGG